ATCACAATGGGAACAGAATTCATCATATGGTCAGCGTCTCTTTCAGAAGAACTCCAAGTACACCCAGCTGACCCAAAACACACCACTTCCTTACTATGTTTTCCATCTCATAGCATCCCAATGCCACTGCTGCCCGGTCTCTCCCTGCTCACTGGTATCACGCCCTTCCACAGAAACAGGGGGAGATGAAGGGTAGCTGAAATCTAACCTCTAGGCCGAGGATGAAGGCCACTACTGCCTCTTGTCAATGCTGTGGCTGTCTGTCACCGATACTGGTTAGCAAGATAAACGGTCATAGAGATGATAGGTTACCCTGAATTTTGTTTTCTCACACAAGATGCCTGAGGACCCTAAAAGTGCTCCAGACGCAAGGAACAAGGGCTCCCTCTTTATCCTATGACTCTTTACTGCTCCTGAGGCAATCAGTTCGTTCTATCTTTGCTCTCTCTCTCTCTCTCTCTCTCTCTCTCTCTCTCTCTCTCTCTCTCTCTCTCTCATTCTGCCACAACTGCCAATCCTGTGTTATATGGAGCAAACCCAGTATACACCCATTTGTGGAGGCTAGAGGTCAATGTTGGGTGTCACATTCAATTACCCTCTGCCTTATTATGTTTTGAGACAAGCCTCCTCACTGAACCTGGAACTCACCAACTGAACCACACAGGCCAAGCCAGTGAACTCCAGATATCTGCCTGTTTCTGTTCCCCATCCTCAGTCCCAGCGGCCTCCTACCCCACACACCCACCCAGCACACGCACCCTCTATATGGGTGCTGGAAATCTGAACTCAGGTCCTTGGGCATTAAAAACACCATCTATAATGAGCCCTGATGCCCTCTTCTGGCGTGCATGCAGACGGAACACTGTATACATGATAAGTAAATTAATCTTCAAAAATAAAAACAAAACAAGTAAGCACTTTACCCACTGAGCTGTCTTCCCAGTACCATACCCAGCACTTTGAATCATATTTTCCCTGTATGATCATATTCCCACAGCTACAACCTTGAACATCGTATAGTCCTGTATGATAGGAAAAACATTTATGATCTGTTTCCTTCCGAAGACACCAAGGTAATGTACATCTCCCATCCAATCCCATCATCCCACAAGGGAATATCAGGCCTGGGTACCACTTACTCCAAGTCTCAATGATCACTGACTACCCACGAACGGCACCAATATGCAGAAGGGCAATAAGTACCATCTAACTCTGGCCCTGGCATACAGAGCTGCATGCTTTACTTACAGAGAATTGGCCTGCAGTCCTCCACATGCTTCATCCTATTTGCAACCAAACACGGATTTGCAACCTTCATTCCTATTTCCTCAGTGTGGACTCTAGGGCCATTCCAAGTGCATAGGACTCTGTCACACACATGTCTCTATCCTTGCTCACAAACACGGCTACACGCGGAGTGCAGCTCCTTCGCCTACCCACCGGTTACTCAGCACGTGGGATCCAGAGAGTCCTTAGGAGATTCAAACAGGATCCAACATACCCCCGAAACCTCTCACAGACCCTACTACAAAGCAGCCCTAACCCTGTTTTGATGACACCCTACTTTATGCTATCCCTTGGTTCAAACTTACCCACCAACCATCACTGGCAAAGCCAGGTATGTTGGCTCATGCCCCTTGGGAAACTGGGGCAGAAAGACTGCCACAAGTTCAAAGCCAGCTTGGGCTGCATAGTGACACGGTAGGCCCCCTTCAGCCCAAGGCCATAGAAACAGTAAAGACTGCTCAAGAAACCAGCCCAGCTGTGATGCCTGGAATAGACGCTACAACCTGGCATGCTACCTGCAAGTTGTGCAGAGCGCTCAAGGGTTCCAGATTTCATGAGTCATCAACCCATGCTGGGATGACCTTTTGTTGACACAGTTAATCATTTCAACTCCTGTAAGTAACCCTAATAACCTCACTGGTTCACCCAGTTGGACTTTGGCAGCATCCGTAGACATCTGTTCAGGTCTCCACAGGATTAGTGTCAACACAGCACTGTCTGTCTCCCTTATTCCATTTCTCGTGCAGCAGCCACAGCGAGCCTGAGGAGAATGGGTTAGCTTGCCAGCTTCCTTCACACGCAAATCTCCCATCTCCATAGTCACTTACAAAGTACACATTCTGTTTCATTTGTTTTGTTTTTTCACTGACATATTCCGGGTGTGACTGCTGTACCCCACTGATCCCTATTCCAAGGAGAAAGCTGATCTGCACGTGCCTGAACTAATTCAATCCCCCCTTCAGGCTGAGGCACATACCGGCACATGTGAGAGAAGCAACTGTCTACCCCCTTTGGCCAACAATTTCATACAACCCTCAGCCTACACACAAAACCCTGGGTTGTGTACCTAACCTGTGCGAGACTGCAAGACTCATCCTGGGGAGCGATGAGAACAGACCGGGGACACTGCTAACCTAAAAATCTGTGTAAGTAGGGTGAGGGTAATGGCAGGGTCCACTTACCAGGCCTGGCCTCATAACTGGTTCTGAAGACAAGAGAACCTGAGAAAAGGAAGGAAGCTGTGAGAATCTGGCAACCACAGGCAGGTTTCACAGGCTCCAGTCACTCAGTGCCCCTGCCCACCCTGGGCCTAGCGGGCTTGGGATGGCTGCAGATTGCCTATGCTGCGGT